CGGATATCATACAACGATTGGTCGCACGGTAGTTCCAATTTGCTTTTTATTGATTTTTTTGACGACCATTTCGTCCAAATAATGATTTTGGTTATATTTTGATATTATTATGAGAATTGTTTAGATTTATTCATCAAACGAAGAAAGACATGAAAATGGATGGAGTGAATGAGGACGACTTATTGGAGATTAAACAGGACATCAGTAGTTTGCGGTAAGCAAAAATAGTCTTTACATATTTCATTGGCTAGATTACTGTAGGACTATAGACGCATTTGCAGAATACCCCTGTCCCAGCTACATATTGCAAATTGTTGGTGTTTTGCAAGCTGAAAGAGAGGCGATGAAGATCGCTTTGATGACTCTATACCAACCAGTGGGAAACAAATTATCAGTTGCGTGCGGTTGCGCTGCGGTCCTGATTCCCGTTTTCATTCCTTTTCAAGTTATGCACACTTTTCTTCTGTACGACCGCGCAATGGAAGCCGTACCTGATGGTCCTTCGTGTACGAATCAATGTGAGACATTATGGTGGTTTCGTGCGGTCGCGACGCGGTTTTGGTGACAGTCTGTCCTTCTTCCTATCCGCAGTTTTCCTACGAAAGACTAGAACTTATCAGAGCCACCTTCAAAACCTTTTTTATGCATTTTTTATGGCGTTTTTATGGCCACTGAACCTCGAAAGCCCGAATTAAGACCGGGCGCGTAAGAACTCACTTCGGTGTACTGCTTTCTTGAATTCCAGCGCTCTCGAAACTTCCCAATGTGTCCTTGGCTGGGGAGCAAATCTCATTCAAATCCCATTTACATTGCTGAAAATGTTAGTGAAACAAAACGAACCAAAAACCCGAAGAACACCGAATCAATTGAACATTCGAAAGTTACAAGATCCACAAGAAACATATAAAAACTAAGGATGGGCTGCGACGCGAGTTTTGTTCTCTGGCAGGAAGGAGCTGATTGAAGTTCCAAAGGCATGGTTCACCTTTAAGAAAGAAAAGCGTGTCGCAAAAAAAGGAAAAAAAAAAAAATGGAAATAATTTCATGGCTGTTCCAGGTATGAACTGAGAGATGATCGTCGACGTGAGATCGTACGAAGTTCATCACATATCGATGCGGTCAAACGAGATATCATGCGCACAATGAGCAGTACCAGGTAGGCTATTGGACTGTTTCGGGCATTAGGCCCAAACGTCCAACCATTACTTGTTCTTATTTATTTTTTTTTCATTTGTACTTTTGTATTTATCTTATATTATCATTTGTTGCGTTTTTCGCCCATTATTTAGTATTTAACTATTTTAATTATTTATTTGTTTTATGTTTATACTATCTATTTAGTTTTTCAAAACCCGAAAAATTTTGTTAAGAAGCCGTGGTGTGGTTTTCAACGGCAACTATCGAGCTCCTCGTGCATCAGTGGCCGAAGAGAACGATCTGACCACTACGGACGAAGAAGACGATGAAAAGTACTCAGAGAAGCCTAGTTGTCCAGTTTGCTGGTGCCTTTGTATAATTTCAGGTAGCCATCGATAATTCCTTTTTCAGGGAAGATTCCGTATCCCTTTTGTTCACACCGCCTGCAAACTCAACTCTGCCGGAGATCGTCCAGGACAAACAGCAATGTGGTATGTGATTTACTAATTTAACTAGCAGGCGCTAATTTTTCCAGGAACTACTTCTAAGAATTTCATTGGCAAATCCGGATACTGCCTGACTATTAGGGGAAAACCCCTTGATATCACGTGTTGCTCATTCTTTCACCGGATGCCTTCATAGTGTTGACGATCATTCGAAGGAAGCGATCGCGAAGGCTGTGAGATGCAAAAAAGCTCCGCACGTCATCGATGGTGGTAGAGCGACTTTGGACCGCCCCTCGACGACCAGGCCGAAGTCAAAGCCAAACCTCCTGCTTTCGGAGCGATTGTGTTAAAGCAACACCCCTAGATCAAATTGGTGGAGTCATTATTAATGGAGCTGCGGATGCTTAGTTGACTAAAAAATGGAAAAAGAAGCAAGAGAAATCGTCGATGAAGCCATTAACACTATTCCTTCTCTTCCTAGCCTGAAATAAGGAAGGGGCGGGGCCGGACGAGTTGTCCGCACTTGCTTGCTCCACGGCTCCGCCCGCGCGTTTTGAATTAGCCGCTACGTCGTAATCCACGCTGCGTATCATGGGGTGTGCGCGAGGTATCTCGTCCATAAGTAACATTGTCGCCATAAGTTCACTTTGTAAAGCCCTAGCGCCATTGTCGCGCACTTTCAAGACACGATAACGGCACATCTGTGATACTTGTGGGCTACTCTATCCTACCAACAGCGACATCATCTGGGGTTATTGCTTAAAGAGTTGTTAATAATGGCAGTCAAAAACAAGCCTAAGATGTGGATTCGATCATGATCATAATAGGTCTAAGTGGAAAAGGGTGCGCACAGAAGCCGAACGTCGAACATGAGCTTAATTTGTGCAAAATTTGCAATTGTGAAAAACCATAGGTAGCACCCGCCCATGTATCCTCGTCTCATTTTGTGCATACCTCACCCTTCTTACGATTTCAGAAACCGACCGAAAGGTGCGTCGACGTCGATGCTCAGAGGCCACCGGTGGTATCGGATCCGCTGAGAGAGCGGTGTTGATCGGCGGAAGACGTGGTTCAGAGAAAGCTCACTCAGCACTGCGTAAAACCGACACTGCATTCAGTTATCCCATCAACGGAATTATGATGAGTCCACCGCTTCCGAAGGGTGTTTTGAAGTAGTTTCCTCTATCATTTCTCCAAAACACAAGATATTGGTACCAGAACGATTTGAGATCTGGCTAGAATCAAGGCCATGATGCTAAGGGAGGGAAGGTTATCTTGTAATTCATGAACTGAGGGCTTACATCCCATCCTCAGAACCTAGCGGGCTCGACAAGAAACATTCATCGTCCCATTCCTTCGATCGTTCTTTGAAAACTGTTCAGTATTTTTTGTCAAACAATAAGTATAGTGTGTGATAATCGTTATCATAGTTTAAGCAAAAAAACTGGCTGAGAACGTAAAAATAGCAGGCGCCTCGATCGAGGAGGCGGTTTCGCAACTGGCCTTGAGGATCCAATTCTGGCTTTGGTCGTGTTTGACAAAAGTAAAGTAAAAGCACAGTAAAGAAAGATCACACGCAATAATACTTCCATAATGTGGCGGCGAATCCGCCACATGAACCAGCAGGTTAGCGCCATTTAGGCTCCCTAGCAGTGTTTCGTCATTTTGTTCATTACGGTGTCCCACCGCTCAATACGTTTTCATTTCAGCCACAAATAACGCATTCTAATTGCAAATCGGAGATGTGTCTTAAGTTTCATTAATTAAACTGATTCAGATCTGCCACCGGAGGATTTCATTCGACTTAACGACATCAAACGTCAATTTCAGATCTCCCGGAGTCTCCGCTGCGAGTTGCCGTCACGCACGACAACACCGCCGCTTCGCTGGAGGCGATCCAAAATCTTCGCAATGAGCTGAATCAGAAGTTGGATCTTCTCATAGGAAGTATTCTCTGTGAGACAAGAAGTGAAAACGAGTTCCGATGTGAACAGTAATCTCACACCATCGCCAAAACGCAACAGCAAAGTGAATTTCACCGAAGAACATCCGAGTCCTCTGACGTTGTATTCGCTACCGTATCCTTTGGTCAGAGTTGGAATGCACAGAGTATCCCACTTAAAACCTGGTTTCAAGAAGTAATCGTGTTATCCAGTAGGTGAATCTGCGGGTGTTCTATCCTATCCCAGAAAGGCTCAAAAAGCGCCACCTAACGTTCAACTCAAATTCGCACCAACCTATCAGTGGCGCCATTCGCGCCACTGACAGGTTGGCGCGAGTTCGGTTGACGCACTTCTGATCTAGCCGTATCAATCAATATATCGTAAGCAAACGCACTAGCATTGCTATCCGACTGATAATTAACGACTATCATTGTTGAATTGAAGAATTTACGATCTATTGGAAGTATTCACGTCCTATGTTACAAGATATACCCACATATGCCAATCTCTTTTCGTCAAAATGTACCTGCATAGTCATGTTGACGTGAACTATGTGTTCAGTATGCTGGCTTGAAGTATTATTTCCGCTCAATGCTGTGCATCCACCTCAGGCCTACTCACTGGTCATCAGTCCAGGGCAAATCGTAGAAATAATAGCATGTTTTCAAAGGCACCATTCGATACCGTACACCATCCGGATTTTAAACTGTGTGTCTTTTAGTAAGCCTGCCCACTTTGACGGTCCATTTGTGGATGTCACGAACTAGCCAGTTAAATAAGGTGTAGAACAAATGGTGTCTCTCCTTTTCCCGTCGGGAACTCGTCCACGGTGGGCGGGGTTTCCCCTTTCCATCGTCGTTTACGTGTTGAGCCACGCCCACTTTGAATTGATAACGGCAAAGGCGGGAAAATGCATTTTGAGCCTATTTATTCCATGGCGATCCCCACACTCCTTTAGCTGCACCTTGAATTTTGCATTTTCTTCATGCTTTTCTGGGAGTTCTTTATGGAACAGTTTTTTTGTGGGGAACTCCGCCCACCACGGCCTCTGGTGAAATCGATGGGGCTGGTAGACACCCAACCTTCTCTTCCATTCAACTTTATTTTTGCTCATAAGAGCTTCCAATTCGAGTTTTGCTCCGTTCCAACAAACCGAGTGTGTACGGTGCTGTAGCGATACCATAATATTTTGATGAAAACCATATTTTGAATTTGTAAAGGCTCATACAGCCGTGTTCAGTAATATTTGTCCTTCGCAGTCATTTGACAATACGATAATGCTCATCGATTATTTTTCTTCACCACATTGATCTCCACAGTTCATATTGTTGTCGTTACTATGGGTATTTGTCGCATGTAAATATAATAGTTTGTTATTTGAAGACTAATAAATCTAGTTTTGATGATTTTTTAGAAGACGAAGTTTACTGTGGAAAGGTAGCCCATTAGTAAGCAAGGTAGATGTGGTCTGTTATGCACGGATGGGGAAAAACCAGCAAAAACATTCTTAAACCCGAAAAATGGGACCATTTTTGACAAGCTGGTTCAGTGCTGGAGCGAGTCTCATCGGTGCCGACGTCATCAGTGCGGACCTCTGCTCTGCGTGACTCTTAGGCCGATGTCAGACTTTGCGAATCGCGCGATTCGCTAGCGTCTGCGGTCGCGTCGCGGCCAGTGAATCACTCAATTGGCTGGTACCGCAACGCGACCGCGGACGCTAGCGAATCGCGCGATTCGCAAAGTCTGACATCGGCCTAGGTCCTTGCCCACAGAGACCCTGCCATCTTCGCCACACAAAATGCTTGGTTAGGGCGTCAACCGTTGCGGACTGGTACCATAGAACCATCCCCACCCACTAAGATTGTTGTAAGGATCAGCAACAACGGGCGGCCACGCAAGATGGATGACGAAGTAGCGGGTAACAGCACTTCAAGATAGATATAGCATCGAAAGATAATGAGTGATGCGGCTACGTTGAAAAGAGAACTCGTGCAAACATGCTAACTTCCCCATCCCAAGGTGGAGAGATGAGGAGGGTTTGGGGATCAACTGGCGATTTCTTTTGCATTCCTTTGCTTTTTGGGGTCAATCCCCACCATCAACCTATCTATTGATCACTCTTCCTCACCTATTTGAACCCGAGGATTGCCTTCAAGAGCCACCATGTTTCTAGAGCACATCGTAGGTAACTCAGGGGCTGCCCGGCGGCCCACTCGGTTGCACGCGCCATAAGATCTCTCAAAATATTCTCAAATGCTGGTCATAAGAGATGAGAAGATACATAACACATTTTTATGCAGCGGTGAGAGCACTGATTTCAATGCGCTTGTCAACTATGCCTTTTCTTAGGCTGAAAAGCAATCTCTTCACTTGTGGTCACACCCGCCCCTGCGAAACACCGTCCCTGCGCAAAACACCTTCAAAAGGAAATACACGAAAATAGCGGTTTTCCATTCGTTTCTTTGGACACTGACACACAGACAATCGAATAAAATGCCATAAACACACATGCGCATGTCGTCAAACCACGCCCATAAACAAGCCCCGCCCACAAGCACGCAAACCTCACCACAATCGTAGTGTACTGAAAATTGAACGAAAATAACCATTCTATTATACTTTGTAAATGTGTAGCCTCCTTTTTTTTCAATGCTTCACTGGAAATTCCCGGTAGGCGAGGCCAGCGGGAGGGATATGGCAAAAAAGGATTACCCACCCCCAGTTAATACATTTAGACGGAATCCCATTCATGTGAATCGGATTCGTATTACTCACGGCTCCACTCGCCTTTGACTGGAAAAAGCTAGACTGTCGGTGATTTTTTGGAACAGTCCTGCTAGGCCGATGTCAAGACTTTGATCGTACGAGTTCGCTAGCGGTTCTGCGGTCGCCGTCTCGCGGTCAATGAAATCAGTTCAATTGGTCGGTACGCAACGCAACACGGACGCTAGCGGAATTCTCGTTCAGTAGCGAACTGCGCGATGTCGCAAAGTCTTGACATCGGCCTTACGTGTCCTGTACCAGCGCGACCCCTTTCTACTGGGAATCGTAAAAGCCTTATAATTCTGAACCGGATCAGAAACAGCGCAAAGCGCAAACTAGGGTTTGGTTGGCACTTGCACTTTAACAAAAAAAAATTAGAAAATAAAAAAAATAAATAAATTCTTAGGGTCCTGGTGAAGCACTTGCCAAGAAATTAATCCAGCGTGTTATCACGATGACAAATACCCTTTTAGCGATAAAGAGCAGACTATTCCCTTTTAAAACGAGGGGTGAGAGAAAATGATTTGCACAGAAAGAAATAAAAGCGGCAGTGTTGTCTTTGGAGGAGGGGAGAGGGAGGGGCGAGTTTAGGGAAACGCCACTATGATCTAATCCTATTGAGAATGACGAATCCCAGAGAAATTAATTTTAGCGATTAGCTGCATCTCGGATCACTTCTTCTTCTTCTTCAGGGCGTGTAGTTGCTAAACTGAACGTGTTCGAAGATTCGACGCCAATTGTTACGGGTGTGCCCGCCCCTCGCTCCAGAGCACATTGCTCCAGAAATAAAATGATAAGATCAGCTGAAGAAAAGGGTGGTCGGGTATCGAAAAACAGAAGAAGTAGAAGATTCCTTTCAAGAATTTCAATAAGCAATCAATTCTAGGGAAATCGGAAATATGGGTTGAAATTGCACGCCACTTCACAGATAATACGAATATTCATTGGAGGGGGAATTGTTGAATCCCACCTCAGGTTCGACACGAAGGTGCACAGGTGATGAAGGTCATTCCTGGGTTTATTATACCCAGGATACAACTCCTACCGGTGCTAAGTGAGTTGGGGGGATGGCGCGGTGGCGCGGTCTCTTGAGCGCGATGGCACTAAACCTGATCCTAGCAAGGAGTGGATAGACTGTGAATAGTTTGAGTTGTGATTTTGCAGAAGCCAATTGTTAGCTTCTGAGCCTCCTTCCTAGGCCCAGATTTAGTGATATCGCAATTGAGAGACCGCATTGCCGCGTGGTACCCTCCAATTCACTTAGCGCCCTCGTACCCGCGCCTGTGATATGAAGACATCACTTTTATCCATGACGCTGCGAGCACCTTGCCCACTGTTTTCATGGGTAATTGAAGCTCGCCCTCACAGTGATAAGATCCCCATTGGAAATTTAACATAACAAAGCCTGGGATAAATTTCAGGGTTTCGGGGTATACCGTGGTAAAGACCGTACTGAAAGGGTTTAGGGTT